GACTTGTATGCCAATAGGGTACACATAAAAAGAGCAGGCCATCAGGTTTTAGAGTATAATTTTGAATAAAAAGCTGAAGTAGTAAACCATCGAAGCCTTTCATGTTTTTGTTTCTCAAAATAGAGCCATAACTCTATTCATCCTGTTTTTAATATCCTCACATTACATCAGGTGCATGTAAGCTTTAACTGTAGAAATAAAAGCAATATTTAAAGGAAATTTAAATGTTAAACATTTTATAATTAAACGTATATATATCAAGAATGTGAAGAAATTGAAACTAAAAAGCTATTTATACTGTTATTTGGCATATTATTTCACCTAATTAATCTGCATGATCTGGTGAGTTAACGGGGACGTCTTTTGCACAAAACCTATTTATATTTTATTGTTTATGGGGAAACTATCCCTTGTGTAAAATGATGAGACCCTATTACATTATCCATATTCAGGCAAAACAAAACTACATTGTCCTTAGTGCATCCTTGTCGGAGTTGTCATCTTTCCAGCTCGCTCCATATGTTGCTTGAAGTTGTTTTTCAGACAGGGTTTTGCTTTCAACTTGATTCTGCTTTGGAGGTACAAGCTACAAAGAAGTCTTTAAACTCTTTGATTTAGAAATCCCTCCTTTGCTGTCGACCCTTTTCTCTGCTCACATGCCACTGGTGATTTACTTGTGCTGTATTTTTGCTACACGCTGCAGCTTTTACACATCTTTTGATATTTTTTTTCAGTACTGTATTTTATTTATAGCAGTCATACAGTAAGAATGAAACTGAGCAGGAAAATGTCAGACAAACCACTATATGCAACTACAATATGGTTTATAAAAAAATGTGTTGATTATAATAGAGGCCTAGCACCAAGGACATACAAGCCTCAGGATTATTTTCCTGCATGACTGCTTCTTTATGGATAGACTAAAAACTCTGAGAAATCTCTCCACAGTAAAGTTTTAATGCAGTAAAAGGAAATTAACCTGGGGATCCATTTCAGAGTAGTCCACAAAATTAGTAAATTTTTCCTATTCAAAAATTACCAACAAAAATAGTAACAAGTCACCAACTAAACTAAGAATAACTTCTTAGGAATGAACTTTATATGAGAACATTTTATTATCAAGGTAACCTCATGCATATAAAAACATAATTAGTGAAATGAAATTGGAGAAATAGTTCAAATGCAATGCAGAAGTTGGTAATAAAATCTATACAATCAAGACAGTTGGTAAATCTTCCCTTGTTCAAGTAATTTCCCGTGTGGATTGATGAAGTTTGTCTAAGTCTAAAACAAGCAATAACAGGTTTGTATGGCTCCCGTATGCTGCATAGGAGTACACCGGGGACACATACAACATATGTATGAAAGATTTACCACAAGTACATAAAACACTCTGCAATACCCCCTGTTATTGATAATATAAATAGTCTCCTGTATACCGACTCTGGAATCTCTCCAGCATGAGTTTAACCTGGTCACATTTATTATTTAGTGTTTTCTTAAGCTTTATCGTTTAAAGGGGATGCCAATGCACTTAAAATCCATAAGAAATGTCAAGGCTTTCCATCAAATGATTAATGATATCACAAGGAGGTGCTTTATTAACACGAGCTGTGTACCAATTCTGAGACACAGTAGTGCAGTAGACACATATTACATGGAGTATATAGAGGAATCACTGCACTCTCTAGAGGACAGTGGTCTGCAGTAGGCTGGTGGAAACTCTACACACCACATCTCATTAGACGGCCTATTAGGTCTTCTACAGACATGTTGGAGCAATTCATCATTCACACACAACCTTCTAATAATGCTACCACTTAAAATCGGGAACATGTTACTCTGTATAATCGGCCTTAATTTAGCCCACAAAAATATCCTCTCTAAGTTTTAATGGCAGCTGGAGAAGAAAACTTATTCCAATTAGTGCATGTTTAAAAGCATTTGCAGGTGGCTCAACTGGGATTTAACAAGCAGGCCAAGCACCCATAAAACAGAAATTTTCATGTCTTATCATTATTGCTATGTTACTAATTTTTTCTGCTGTCATCCTCAATTACATTGAATCATACATATCAACAGTAGAACAAAATTCTCAATTGGACATACTGCTACTAATATAGATATTACTAATCAATATATATACATATTTTTATAGCAAGGCATCTGCCTTCTAGCTCACTGTAAGTTGCCTATTACATTTTAGCATTGCATCCAGATTGCATTCACTTATGTATTGCAATATACAAAGTGAAATTTATCACTGGATTGGAATTTTACACTATAAGCAACACATAAATTAATAAATTAGTAGTAGTAGCATATACCGTATAGTAACTTAAAAGGCTAAATGTTGTAGTCAAGAGTTTTTTATTTGGACCATTACACTGCTCCCCAAGTACCTTTTCCCCTATGCTTTCTCTGTGGCTCCAGACAGTCATATTTAATGTGAGGCTGTATTCCCACCAGCCCAGTCACTCCGTCTGTCTGTCACTGGGCACAGGCCTAAGACTGGTCCTCCGGCAGCAATAACTAATCCACTTTATTTCTATTATCCACAAGAAGCCTTATGGGTGTTTGTGTGCGTCTTTGCTTTACAGTGAGGGATGAGCCGCCTGATGCCTCCTGAGCCTGAAGGGAAGCAGAGGGCCCAAAAAGACACATTATTAACAAATCAAACTGAGCTGGTGACAAAAGCTGTTCTGCTAATTAATGATGACGTGCGTGGGAGAAGGCAGCGTTAAAAAGGAAATGCAATTTTAATAGATTTGTTAAATGTTTGATTAAGAGTGAATGAACCTTCTTTTCTTTCTTATAGCAAGTTGTCCTCCTGCACAGTAATTCATCTATGGATTTTGACACTGGAGTGGATGCCATGCTCGACTCCATTCTTTGCATTTATCCATGCTTGGAACTGGGACAAAGGTGACCCTTGGTGAGTGAAGAATCAGATGAAACAGGATGGGTGCTTTTTGATGCCTGCCTGATCTCACTTTTATTTGCTGCCTTTGTGAAAGATCTTCCCTGAGGCTAGGAGGGTAGGCTATTTTTAGCAGGCTCATTGTTGTGCTGTTATGGGACAGTGTGTCCTACTTACACCGGGAGCTGATATTACATTAAAGCAAGTGTTGGTGTCACCGCTCATACAGGAATCTGCCTCCTTTGGGACTCCACCATGTCTCTTCCCTCTGGAGCTTCTGAGCAGACTCTGGTCCATGTGACAAATGCTGGAAGGCCACCACTCACATTAAACTAAAGAGATTATCGTCCCAGCACCAACTGACCGCCATTATGTGATTGGATAACTTAAATTTAATAAGGATGAAAATCTAAGAACATTTAGAAAACTGGTGGCATCTAAGTGAAGGGTGTGAAAAAGCTGAGCCAGTAATTATTAGAAATGGTCAAGGCGACTACTGCTGCCACCAAAAAATATTCCCCTGTACATCAGAGCAGATGAAGACAGAGCAGGCGTGAAGGTCAGGATGAAACTCATAAGGACACTCATAATGGTGCTCATTACGCAGAGGGCAGATGCTTTTACACACAAGTCTCAGGCACAGGAACACAAGGTTAAAATATGCTCGCAACGGATGGGTCAATTGTGGCTGAATTAACATACACTCACACACTACCGGAGGATAATGATTTCATGAACAGACTTTGGAGTTTTTTGGAGAAAATGAAACTCAAAAGATGTTATTTAATTCTGAATATATTTTGGACTTTCCATCATTGAGCAATTGTAATTCCAGTAATTCCATAAAATTTGAGATCAATCTTAAAGCCCCTGTTTATTCAGTGAGTCCCAGTCACACAGCAGAGAGTGACTGTTTTAACTGACAAAAATAAATATTAGTTTTACTGCAGTGAAGTTAATTTGATATCAAAGGACATGCAGTATTATACAGTATTATTTTGCAAACTATAGAATTTCTAAGGATCAAGTGTTTCCGACTGTTACAGCTCAGCGAAATTACATACAGTGCAGTGTCTTGTTCTGTTCAGTCTGATGGATTCACCTATTCACTCTATGCCAAGTGACAAATCATTTTTCCATTGAGGATATAAAGTAGTGTCTATCTTGAATTTTATTGAGATGCCTGAAAATCTGAATCTCTGACGTGCAATAAAAGAAACAGTCACTTCTTAAATATTCAATCTTGCAGCTTCAGCGGCAAACACATCACCAAGGAAACAGGAAAGAGGAGGCTGTTTAATTTCTCTGAGTGAATGAAGCCCAGGTGACCTCAGATGACACGCACTAAACAAAACAAACAAGACCTAATTCAATGTACTTTCCCTATGTTGTTTGAGAGCTCCAAGAGATACAGAGGGACAGTCTTTTGTTGCAGGAAAAGGTAAATGACTGTATTGTATAGTATTAGCTGTAAAAGTAGCTACTTAATAAAATCTCTTAACCCCTGAAATTAAGTAGTCAATAAGCCTAAATTATTCATAGTAAAATATTATTGTATTTGCTAATTATGACTTTTTCATGCTTTCTTCAAATTCAAGTATAATTATTATAGTGTAACCTACTTGCTTTTTAAATTAAAGGTGTATTGTGTAACTTTTCTGGTGGACGGTCCATCAAATGCTTTTCTCCATGGAAATGTTATTGCATTGTCTGGAATATTTCACAGTATGGTTTTGAATCTTTTTTATCTTCATGGAGACCAAACCAGACCAAGTTACAAGTTAGATCTATGGAGAGGCAACTCCACTCACAGTCAGAATGTCTGTTTTATGTGGTATTTTTGAGCTATAAAAGCACCTGTAATTGAATAAATGTAAGGTAGAGCTGTTTTATGTCATCCTGTGGTGTATTCCTGGCAGATTCCTGACAAATCCATAGAAAGGAGCAGGTGATGGATCCCCAACCAAAAAGTTACATAGTACCCCTTTAAACTGGTTGAATTTGAGAGCAGTATGGTACATAGTATTCAGTGTTGTTCTGCAGTCCTTGCCCAGTCTGACCTCTTGTCTTTGTGAAATACCTGCTCTAAGATGGAGTTGATTCTGTCCACTTCACAGTCAATGAGGAAGCGCTTCTCTTGCCTTCGGTCCATCTCCTCAATGATGCGTCTGTACTCAGTGGGGTCCACGATGTTCCCCACCGAGCGTGCGGTCACCTGCCAGTTATTGGCCACAGCAGACTCCATGATGGACTGCAGGATGGCAAAACCTACGAGGAGGAGTAGAGAGGGGACATGAGACAACTGCTTCAAAGAACAATCAGCATCTGAGAACAGGAGGTAAATCAATCACATTACTGAGGCATGAAGTCCACTGTTATGTAGACAGAGAGTGGCTGTTTGTGTGTTGCAGTGTTTGATGTGCCCTGAATTAATAGTCACACAATGTTTACAGAAAGTCAACAGTGTTTTCAGGCAGTATAGAGACAGTGTAGAACTAATGACTAAACAGCGATGGAAAACAGTACATGAAGGTTATTATGCATTGTAAAATAAACATTCATGCAATATTTAGACATATAATGAGGTAAACAGTTGTACTACAGCACCCCAGATTTGGCCATCATTCACTGGAAGCTACTACAGAATAGTTTTATGCAAACACTTGGCTCTTGATGTCAATGCATTTAAACTTTTCATCTGCATTCAAATTACCCCAATGCTGCAATGTATGTTTTATATGCCAAAGTTGTCAAATAGATTAATGTCTCTACTTTAAATGTAATATTAAGAAGCCTCTAGCAGCAGCAAAACAAAAAAGTGTTTCAGGTAACAAACAAATACGAGACACACAGAGACCTCAAATCACCCACTGTCTGAAGGTGTGATGTGTGGGCACCGCAGAATATATTCAACATGTTTTTATTAATCAGTAATCACTTGACTCAACACTTAGTTGAGTAAATCTGTTTCCAGACACAAAATATAAACATTTAAAATGCGTGTATGTTTTGTTTAAAGTCCTTAAACCATTTTACACCACAAAAAATTCTTGGGATTTTGAGAATTTAACTATCTAAATCTGCAAATTAAACTACTTGCATTAAAATTGCAAAAAACATAACTAGTAAGAGTATACAATGCCATTAAAACTCCATGTACACAGTTTAGTCACAAAAAAGTTGATTTAGTGTTTTATTCGACTTAAATTCTGTGTCAAATGTGAGGCATTTCAGAATAGTTCCAATCTTAAAGCAGCACATTTTACATAGCACAAAAAGCCTTCTCACAGGTTGGGTACCGCAGTCAGAGGCAACGTGCAGCTCAGAGACTGGCAAATGGAGGTGAATGGGAATGCCATAAAAGTGGTCCAGTGAGCACAATGGTGTGTTCACTGCACTGCTCTCTGTGGCATGGGATGAATGGCTTAGAATGAGTCTCAAAGGAAGGTGCTGAGCTCAAAGGAAAGCAGACCGCCAATGCAATACACTTTAGTCACTAAACACGGTACTACTTCAAATATAAAATTTTTTAAAATCTAATTTGTTCATATATTCTCTCTTTTTCTCTCATTCTTAAAACCTAGGATACGATTTCAATATAATATCTGTTTTTGTCTTTTAAGAGGTAACGAATACTATCTGCGTCATGCCTCTCTGTGATTGGTTAGTTTGTTGGTCAGTCACGCAAACCTTGATAGAAGCTGATCAATACAAGGGGTGGGTGGAGAAAAGTAGAGGGCATGTGTGTGTGTGTGTGAGCATAGAGTTGTATTAAACAAAGTGACTAAACAAAGAACTCACTCTGAATCACTAAACACTGACACATCACACAGTGTAATAGCCTGAATAGCAGATTTTTATATTGTCATATACACCACCCGCATCTCCATCTTGTTTCAAATTGTCTTCCAGATTAGATAAAGAATCCGATTTGCAACATTTTCAGAACTTGTTAAGATGCAAAAAACAATTATGCAAACAATTTTGTCCATGTATTCAACTAAAGCTATTTATAGCAATTGCCAAGCAAATAACCCCATTCTTTTTTATAAAGAGGAAAGCAAGGCCAGTTTGCTCCACTTGTGACTCATACAATCTCTGCAATATTTAAATAGCCTCCACTATTTCTTCCTCTGTCCTCGAATGTACTGTGCCCTCTTGTGCAAGAGCACATAAGCCAACCAATAATCCTATTTTAATCACTAGTAATAAAATGTTTTGGCAGAAGTGCTTGAATTGTAGTATTTGGAAGTCTAAGCTGGCTCATAGCACGCTGACAGTGGACTGGCTGATCTGTGATATTGCTTGCGGGAATGTCCACCTCCTGCTGAGCTCTGTAATGGTCTCATAAGTCAGTTCATCAAAACATCTGCTTAACTCGAGGAAATAAACCAACCGTTTCTGTGCATGTCAACTTTAATTTAAACTGAGCCCAAAAAATTATATTTTTCCTGCATGTATAACTGTGAGTTAATCTAAACACCACTGCCACTGACACACTAACCCTAAAGCTGAACAATCCCAGTAAACCTGAAATAAACCATATTGTCAAAAAATAAACTATACAACTTTACTCAATAGAACACATAAGTGCATAATATCTCTAATATCTATAATGAATGATAGCTATGTTTCTTCATCTCAAATGTTAACATAAAAATACTTGTGCATTTACATAGTTATCAAGTCCAAAATATTGTTCATATTTCAATTATGAGACATCCAGTCAATATAGTAATGATCGTGGTCTGATGATATTGGTTTTGGGTCATAGGTTTTGGATCATTACATTAGGTTAATAGATTTTTAAGTGTTGGAAATTAGGTCACTTCCACCGAGTCTGTAGTGATCAATGTCTCTATTTGAAGACAGAAAATAACTGTTTATATGTCGCCCTCAAAACAGTTCTCAACATAAGTTATTCCAAAATACTTTGTTAGTGATAACCAGTTCAAGTGTGCAAAGCTGCTTTTTCCCACTGCTTTTTTCCCACCCTAACCCTAACTGGCCAACAGAAATGCTTTTGTACAGTAGATATGGTTAAAATGTCAGAAGATAGATTACCACTGATAAAATAATACCATATCAAGCAGAAACTTGTGACAGTTAGAGAAAAGTAAGAAGCAGTTACCACATAACACTCTTATCTCCAGCACAGAGACTACAGGCTCATTATATGCGTGTCTGTAGTGGATCACATCTAATGGCTGAAGGCTTCTCCCACTGTTTCTTACTAAGCTGAGCTGAACAAATGCTGTGCTGGGTTTTCTTCTGCTGCTGTGATAAAACTGCTGATCCTATAAAATAATGCATATTATTCTCGCTGCTGAACAAGGCTGTGTGAGATATGTTTATGGAAATGTGCATCAGTCTCTACACCAGCTGTATTTTCACGGGTTGTGTGCGATGAGTACAATAGGGACGAACAAAACACCAGTCTGCATTTAGCGTTACGGCTCAACTAGCATCCCATTTTTAAGTCCTATTTGTTCACAGTAAACACAGCGCAGTTGAGCTGCTCATGTAAAATCCATTTTACACAGTGCTAAGCAGTAAACAAACAACTATTAATCTTTAATAGCCGCAAAATCTAATTCCAGGTTATTAGAGTATACAATACAGCTGTGGCTAAAGATCAACTGCTCAGAACATTTAATGCTGTAAATGCAGCTCTTAGAAAGGTGTTTTGACTCAATTTGATGCCTTATTGCATGAACTACATTAATACTAATTTTACACATTTCATATTAGTTGTTGTAGTTATTGAAAAACAACTAGAGACCATTAAGAAACCAGAAAACAGGAGGCAGACTTTAAGCAATAGTGCCACTGCCAGAAATGCAGCCAGTCCTGGGCCAATATGTTGTACCTTACACTGAGATTATTGTGCCTAGTGTATCTGATAACTAATTGTTCTTAATGATATTACTGATTTTGTATTTTTGTGCACTGCCCTCCAAAAACAAGAAAAACAACTTATTATAAATGTTACATATTTATGTGCTATTAAGGATCTTGGTTTTTCTAAAGAAATAACAAAAAAACCTCAGACATCTCAGGTTTTTGCTCTTCATCTTCTGATAATATGTTAAGAGCCTGAGCCCTCTCATAGTAATGTACCTATGAGCTGTAGCACTGACAGAGAAGCGAAGTATTTAAGTATTCCGCTCCCATCTCTCTCTCTCCCTCTGGTCCAACTGTTCCCCTGCTGCTGACCTTCACAGTGAAGTGAGGAGCAGACAGCAGTCTGATCAGGTTTGGCCTTTAAAGACAAGTGGCTCTTACCGGGAGCTTCACATTAGCCCTTTTGGAGACGCTTAGAGGTGAAGGAATTTAGAGTTTCCTCTTTACTGTCCTGACTGATGGCACTGTCCCTGTCACTGTGTACATGTTTATGTGTACCAGAACCAGAGCTGCCCCTATAGGAGGATCCAACTGACACTTCTCCTCCCGCTTTAGTGTAAGCTGGGATATTCAAGACATTTGAAATGTGTTAGCAGCTATTTACACAAAAGGATTTGGGGATTTACACATGATTTCCTTGAGAGTTTTATTTTGGATCGTCTCCTGGTGCCAAGCTGGATATTCAGGATGTTGTCATTTGCATGGTCATCTGTTCAGCTGGTGTGAAATACTGGGACTGTTTGGAGTTAATATTATGTAGTAGTCAGGGCATAAAGAGCCACACTCTTGTGGCAGAGTTTCTTGACTTTGTAAACAGATGGTGGGTTTTACTGCAGCCAGAAGGCAGGACAAGCATCAAGGGCATTTTAACCAGTCAATTATTCAGCAGCGTCCTGAAAAGTAATACATATTCAAAAGAATCAGCACAGCTATATATAGAATTTATACTATTTCATCTCCTGTGTAAAAGGCTTTGCAGCGCTGACCCAATATCTTCTCAAGGATAACTACATAGTCATGTTGATGCGGTACTCCAGATTTAAGACCTCTCCAAAGTCGTTGTACACACTTTGTTCTACAGCTTTAGCTGTCAGTTTGTCCTTAGTGTGATACTTGACATGTGTAAAAATGTAGATGCTTAGACTATGTTTCTTATTATTTATTCTTTATTACTCATCTGAGTTTTTCATTTAAGTCATTCTTGTGGCCTTCTGTGTTGGATATTTAACAATTAATTTAATCCATTGTTTGTAAAGCATGAGTGAGTGTTTTACTTTTGTGCTGAATTTATACGTAACACTATATAATTTGATGAGTATTTTGCACGTGATCTGTTTTTGTTTGTTTTACATATGTCTCATTTA